TGATTGCTGTGTTTTGTTTCTACTCAATCATCCCTCCAACTTGCAAAAGATTTTAAAACTGTTTCCAGTCTTATATTTGAAAACTAATATTAACTTAAATAGACATATCCATATGGCTGTAGAAGACAATAATAAAGCAAGACTATTCAAAATTAAATTGCAAGATATTGGCATAATCTCAGGTTTGCAGTTATTAATCAATCAATCAAGATGAGGTCATTCGCTTTATATAATGTCAGTCGCAATAGTCAATTAAATTAAAGCCCTCTTCTTAAATGTAGAAGCTTCTATTTCTTATTTTAATAAGGTGGGGGAGAGACAAATCTGGAATTAAGTAGCCTTGTTTTGCAACAATTGGGCTGCTTTATTTAAAAACAAAGCAAAAAACTGTTTCATCTTATATTTACCTTTAGAACACCGGTAATAAAAAGTATAGCACCAACAAATCAACATTTTGATTGATTGTAGTTACATTGAAAAATAAATGATCTGATCGGAGTAATAAGCTGTCATTGAATCTGCTGACAGGTAGACTAGGACTGAATCAAAATGAAAGGGTGAGGCATGTGATGACATGTCTTTAATACAGATTCACTGAAGGTTTCCTTTGAACAAACAATAAGAGTTATTTTTCACTCCTATATGTTCACTGAGGCAAAGCAGTAGAGTGGGGGCATAACACTAAAATACACCATGGGATACATTTATTTCCACCGTAACTCTACTAAGTCAGTAGCAACAGGGCCTAATATTAGGGTCCTGTTTTTGAAAATCTTGGCCTATAAGCCAACAATGATATCCCTCTCTGTCCCCCCACCCCACCAGTGTTAGGTGTTGATAAGATATTAGCCATGCCACAGTATACTTACCATTTAAATAGATAAGATGGAAAGAGTGGGAGAAAGGAACTGGAATATCCTTTCCATGATGAACATAGCTAATTGTTGTAACCTTTATTGTTCATGGACAGTAATATTCATAGGAATGGATGGCACTTATTGATACATCCTATTAAAGGAAACAGCATTATTTTGTAGGCAGTGGCCGCTAAATTACAGTACTTTCTCAGTGAGGTCCCTATTCAACACTCCTTATTCACTCTGGCAAAACTTCACTGTCAACAGGAATTTTGCCCAAGTAAGGAATACCCAGTAAGACTCCCATTCATTTGTGATTATTGTTTCCTACATCCACCTAACAGTTCTCCGTTTACACACATTCAGAAAGTTGACTTTGTTCTTTTTGTTTTTATTCTTCAGTTCATCTTATTTTAACCTTTTTTTCATTTGGGGTTTGCATGCTCTTCTCTTTCTTTTGAGTAGGGCTGCTGTATTAACTTACTAGCCTGCAAGCCAGGCTGACAGCTACAGTCTCGTTTTATCTGAGCTAGCTCAATTTAGCTGAGTTTTAACGAGGGGACAACTCTGTAACTGGTAACCTGCATAAATCGCTACAGCTCTTGTTTCTTCAAGCCATTTTAACTCTTTCTTTTGTCCACAAGGGACATAAAAACCAAGCCAACCAACCCTGTCTCTACTGGTGCCTTCAGGACTGCTCTATCGTTGGCTTGTGAAAAGTACAATAGTACATCTTATCCGGTGTCTCTTTCTCATAAGGAGAAGTCGATCAGCTGCAAGACATGTCCCTGAACCCAGAAAGGTGCCACTGTCAGATGCTGAACCCAGATTTCTAGGGTGAAGTTAATGGGAGCTTTGTCACTGACTTCAACAGGGCCAGGATTTCACCCATTATATCTGTTGATCCCGTGTCTACAAGCTGCCTCATTGAATGATTGGCCTATTTTCTTTACTTTCCATTAGAAAGGATTTTATATTAGATTTCATAATGTAAATTGCAATGTACTCTTTCCGCCTATCTGCACTGCTTAATATACCTCATTTAACTGGCTATTTAATTTCTGAAATTGCAAACAAAATCTAGTTTAGTTGATAGATAGAAGAGTATTGAAAGTCTGCTTGCAGCAATAGTCGGCTTTGGTACAAGCAGCCCTTCTATTATGTTGCCTACATAATAGTTGCTTTAACACATTTGGTTACTCAGATATTGTTGGTATTTTTGATTCCCAGCCAAAACTGCTAGTCTAATTTTGAACATTTTTCAATCCCTAGCCACCCAAGATTGACACTGTTTGTTCTGAACAGAAAATTCATATACAGACTAGAAAAACTCACATGCTGTGTGAACATTCACTGTATAATCCAATTGTTATGCTCTTTGAGCTTGCAGTTTGAGTTTCATATGATAATAAAACTAATTGTGGAGGTCTTTTTCTTGTCCATAGGACTGGGTAGAAGAGGTGTGGCTTATATCAGAACAGGTGAAAACACCAGGGCTCTGTCTACAGCAGTGCTCTAACTGCTGCTAGAGTTGCACTGGTGCTAGAGAAATGGTGGGGGAATTTTAGAAAACCTGCAGTGTAGATAAGTCCAGAAATTGCCCTGCATCAGTGATTGCCTCTAAAATAACACTCGATTGCCATCAAATCCATAACAAATGAGAACTCACATGCTTAACAAAGCTTTTAACCACCAGCCTTGTGGATCGGTCTTGGACGAAATACTGTTCTCAATGGTCTGCTGCACTGCAATGTTAAACAAGTGTTTGTCACAATTAACTTAATCAAAACAAAAAGCATAAACTAGGACCTGATGCAGATACAAGTGAATGGCCCAAATGTAAATGCTTGCTAGCACCAAGAGGTTATTCTCTGGCTTTAAGGGGGACCAAGATCAAAACATTTGTGGACAAATTTACAGTGAGCCCTCAACATCAACAGCCAGCAGATCTACTGGATGATTAGACTATTCCCACACTAGATGATCACATCTAGATTTCAAACCACATGGACATCAGCCGTAATACTGACCTATTAGAATGTTTGCCTGTATTTGAAATAAATGATAACAGTGTCTATTCAGACTCCCAGTGTCAGAGTAGGGGATGGCAGTTACATTTTAATTCCTTCCAAAATGAGGACAAAACTAAACATATAAAATGACAGAGTCAAACACACTAAAAGCAAAAGAACAAAAATGAGAGAGCTTCAGTAAAACTGTCCAAAAGAAAGCAAATGGAATACTGAGAAATGCCTTTAGACAATTACAAAAGCAACAATATTCCATTTTTATTTATTTGTGACAATGAGACCATAGCCTGGGAAATGGAACAACTCAATTTTCTTACCCGAATCCCATACTTCAGGGGTGGCCAACCTGTGGCTCTGGAGCCACATGCGGCTCTTCAGAGGTTAATATGCAGCTTCTTGCATAGGCGCCAACTCCTTGGCTGGAGCTACAGGCACCAACTTTCCAATGTGCTACAGTGTGCTCACTGCTCAACCCCTGGCTCTGCCCCAGGCCCCGGCCCCCACTCCACTACTTCCCCCAAGCTCCTGCCTCTTCCCCGGAGTCTGCTGTGCCCTGGCACCTCCCACCACCCCTCTCGAGACTCCTGCACACCACAAAACAGCTGATTGCAGCGGGCGGGTGGCGCAGGGATGGAGGGTTAGGCGGGGCTGCTGGTGGGTGGGAGACACTGGGGGCCGGGGGGAGGGAGCTGACGGGGGGGGCTGATGACGTGTTACTATGGCTCTTTGGTAATGCACATTGGTAAATTCTGGCTCCTTCTCAGGCGCAGGTTGGCCACCCCTGCCATACTTGAAGTCTTAGCGGCCAATAGACAAGAGGACAGAATTTCCTCCTTACCTTTAATTGCCTCAATAACACATTATGGCAGTAAGCTCCGTGGGCTAATTACATTATAAATCTAATTGTCCATTTTAAATCTGTTGCCTCTGAATTTTGAGTGACCTCTTTTTGTTGTATTATGGGACAAAATTTAAAAAGGAGCATCAGATTGGCCTCTTCCTTTCCAGTTCCTATTTGATATTTAAGCCTGGTCTACACTACAGAGTTAGGTCGAAGGAAACCGCCTTAAGTCGACCTATTAGTGTACTGGGTCCTTTATGTCGACCTAAGTCACCTCTGAGGTTGACTTCTGTAATCCACCTCTGTGAGAGGTGTAGCTCTCCGTTCGATTTTCATGGGTCGACTGCGAGGTAGTGCAGATGCAGTGTTATATAATTTGACTTAACTGGCCTCCAGGTCATGTCCCACAATGCTCATCTGTGACCACTCTAGAGATCATTCTCAACTCTGCACTGTAGCCAGGTACAAAGGAAACAGCCCTATCCCTGCTAAAGCCCTGGGAACTTTTGATTTCCCATTTCCTGTTTGATCAGCATTAGGAGCATGCCAGTTTGAGCACAGCTGCTCATGGAGACTACATGCCCCAAACACGCTCCAGCCTGGTCTGCACAGGAGGTGATGGATCCTATCGCTGTGTGTGGAGAAGAGTCTGTGCAGGCAAAGCTCTGATCCAGCAGAAGAAATGCTAACATTTATGCAAAGATCGCTCGTGGAATGGGGGAGAAGGGCTACACGAGGGACACACAGCAGTGCCATGTGAAAATAAAAACTTCGCCAAGCGTACCAGAAGAACATCAGGCAAGAACAAAGAAGGCAAGAGAGGTGAACAGTAGTTCTGGTTCTGAACCCCACACATGCCAGTTCTACAACAAGCTGCATGCGATTCTTGGGGGTGGTCCTATCAGCACCCCCACAAGCAACATGGACACCTCACAGGTGTGTGAGTGCAAGGACAACAAGGAGGATGATATGATGGATAAGGAAGAGGAGGAGGAGCAGAATGGGAGACAGGTGAGCAGTGGATCCATTCTCCCCAAGAGCCAGGAAATATTTTTAACCCTGAAGCCCTGTGGGTCGCAGGACATCACAGTGGCCGACCGTGATGCTGGGGAAGGCATCTCTGGTGAGTATACAATTATAATGAAAGTCCAGTTAAACTTTAGCGGGCACACACATTTGGTGGTATTGCACATTTACTGTGAAGAAAAAGCGAGGTGCGGTGGTTCTCTGCTTACAAGGGGCCGCTCCAGCTAGGCAGAGGGTTGGCCCCAGAAAAGACTGTTTATGTGGACTAGGATAGCCCAGGAATCCTCCATGGATATCTCTAGGAAACTTTCATGGAGGTACTCTGCAATCCTTTGCAGAAGGTTTCTTGGCAGGGCAATCTTATTTCTTCCACCATGGTAGGACACTTTCCCACGCAACTCCTGAATTAATTCTGCTGGCATCACTGCGGTACACAGCATAGCAGCATAAGGACCCGGTCTATACCCAGACGCTTGCAGCATCTCCTTCCTTTCCTCCTCTGTTACCCTCAGGAGACTGATATCACATAGGGTCACCTAAGGAAAATGTGGGAAGTTCTCATTAAAAATGCTATTACACGGAAAAAAAGGACACTGAGTCCCACCCCGCGCCCCCCACATTCTGGATCTCCAAACCACGCGGCTGCTAACATGCCTTTACTGTGCTCAGCATGGGTCGGCAAGTAGTCTAAAGTGGCTGATAGGGACCTGGGGCTCCACATGAGAGATTCCACAATTTGGGAGTGAAAATGTTCCCCTCCTCCCCCCGGTTTGTAAACAGCTTCCCGTGGTGCTATGGGGAAGGGCCATTGTTCGACTAGCTACCTGTGCTTCTGACATGAGCCTGCCATAAACTTCATTAAAAGTGCGGTCACCCATGACCTGGGGCCTACTCACCATGGCTGGAGCAGCAAAACAGCACAGTGAACAGTTACAGATTCTGATTATGTTATGGCTTGCACCTAGTTTAATAAGGGTGGGGTATTTTTAAATGAAAACGGCCTTGCTATGGAAACATTTTATTCATGTACAATGGCTCCTTTATTTTTTCCCCAACTGACAGCTGGAAATGTGTCCTTCAGCGTGTCATCAACACCTGAAAGCAGACTTTCAGTGATTAGAAGGAGGAGAAAGAGAACGCAGGAGGACATGTTCACCGGGATAATGAATGCCTCCTTGACAGCTGACACAGAGCTGAGAGCGTGGAGGATTTCATTGTCCGAGAAGTTAGACATGGGCATGGAGAGCAGGAAAGCTTCCAATGAGTATGAGTGTGTGGCGCAGGATGAGATGCTTCGGATTATGAGGGACCAAGCAGACATGTTGAGGTGTCTGGTTGAACTGCGGGAACAGAAGCAGGAGGGTAAGTCCCTCTGCGGATCTTGGTGGACAGCTAGCCAGCATCCCCTGGTGCAGAATCACCCTCCCACAAGCGTTCCATGAGGTGTTGGTGAAAAGTCCATTTTCCCTTTCACTTAACTAAGGAGGGGAGGATACAAGGAACAGAAGGCACCCATTCACAGACCTTTGATGGTCTGGAATGTGGTGTTTGCTACACAGTTGAAAATGTTTCTCCCGTTCCAACTTTACAACCCCTTTTTTCCAAGGTTACCTTTTATTTCTGTTCTCCCTCTTTTCTTATGTTTGTTAAATAAAGTAAATGGGTTCAAGAAAGAAATGTTCTTTATTGAGTAGAAGCAGCAGGCTTGGGCAGGGGGTTGGCTTTAGAGGGACAGTGATACAAGCCAGGTGAAGGTCTGGGAAAGCACAATGCAGACAAGCAGCTCACATTACTGTGACTCATTAATGAAATGGCTTTTCAAAGCCTTGCAGATACGTAGCACCCTTTGCTGTGCTCTTCTTATTGCCCTGGTGTCTGGCTGCTCAAAAATGGCTGCCATGTGATCTGTCTCAACTGCCCACCCCTGCGGAAAACTTTCCCCCTTTTTCTCACAGATATTATGGCGCACACAGCAGGCAGCTATAACCATGGGGATCACTAAGGTCCAACCTTGTTAGTAGACTTCTCCAGCGCCCTTCCAAATGACCAAAGGCACATTCGACCACCATTCTGCACTTACTGAGCCTATAATTGAACTGTTCCTTACAGCTGTCCAGACGGCCGGTGTATGGCTTCATGAATCAAGGGAGCAAGGGGTAGGCTGGGTCCCCCAGGATAACTATAGGCATCTCAATGTCACCAATCTTCATTTTGTGGTCTGGAAAGAAAGTCCCAGATTGCAGCATTTTAAACAGACCTGCATGCATCATGAACCTTTCCCGACCATCCTACGTTGATGTAGGTGAAACACCCACTGTGATCCACCAGCACTTGCAACACCATTGAAAAGTATCCCTTTTGGTTTATGTACTCTTTGGCAAGGTGGTCTGGTGCCAAGATGGGGATATGTGTGCCATCTATCACCCCACCGCAATTAGGGAACCCCATCGCAGCAAAACCATCCACTATGTCCTGCACATTTCCCCAGACTCACTACCCTTTGTAGAAGAAGTCGATTAATGGCCTTGCACACTTGCAGCACAGCAAGTCCCATGGTTGATTTACCTACTCCAAATTGATTCCCCGCTGACCGGTAACCGTCTGGCACTGCAAGCTTCCAAATAGCAATTGCCACTCAGTTCTCCACTGTCAGACCAGCTCTTATTTTTGTGTTGCTGAACTGTAGGGCAGCGGAAAGCTCTGCACAAAGTTCCTGGAAGGTGGCCTTCCGCACTCGGAAAGTTCTGCAGCCACTGCTCATCATCTCATACCTGCAAAACGATGTGATCCCACAGTCACTGCTTGTTTCACGGGACCAGAAACAGTGCTCAACAGAATTCAGACGCTCTGTGACTGCCAGCAGCAACTGTGAACTGTTTTTTTCAACGGCTTGCAGCAGGGCTGGTTGCAGGACATCACTATCTTCCATGCGGTGGATGCTACTTCAGCTCTGGAAATACTACAGGAGAAGGAATGAGGTGTTTGAGATTCTCACAGCAAGAGTGCACAACTGAGCCGGCTCCATGCTTCTGGGGTTATGGCGTACGCGTGGTGGTTTTAAAGCGCAAAAACCACTGGGTGGTTTGCTGTTGATGTGAGGGAGGGAGCACAGTGCATCATGGGATGCCGACACAACATTTGCATTCTCCCCAGCGACAATGTTTTGGTCCCAAACTTGCACAAACTTCCCAAAACACACTGCAGCAAGCTGCACTTTGGGATAGCTACCCACGATGCACTGCTTTGTGCACTGATGCAGGCGCTGCTAGTGAGGACACACTCCATTGAGACAATGAGCGTGGTGTGGCCATGCACAATCGACTTGATTAATCTGGGGGCTCAAGGTCGAATTAGATAAAGTCAACTTAATTTTGTGGTGTAGACAAGCCCTGAGTCTTAACTTTTCTCTTTTCCAAACTAACCAGTGCTAGGAAGTTAAAGCTCTCCTTACACTTACAAATCATTGCGTAAATAACAACATTGCTACCTGACCTAACACAGCATCTAGGTACCATTAATTAAATAAATGCAATTATGTTATTAAACAAAATGTAGGTCCCTTAAAACAACGGGCCTATACTAAAACCCCTCACAATGCCTGCTGCAGGAATGGTTTAACAGCCCATTCAAAGTATGACTTAGCAGGTAAATTTCATGCTGAAGCTTGTCAAACTTGGCCTACTGCCAGAAGGAGAGATTTCCAAAGGCACTGAAGCTCCACTGAGAATATCTTGCTGCTGGGCCTGGGGAGTTCTACCCAAGAACTAACAGCAAGAGCAACAAGATGGATTCTAACTCTTGTAATAGGACACAGTCTGAAAGATTCCCATTTACTTCCAGGGGCGTGCACAGGAATTAAAATTTGCCTGCTTTTGGAGGGGCACGTTCTGTGCCTTGCTGCAGCCCCAGGGCTGGAGGAGCTCTGTGATCCCGCTGATGCCCTGGGGGCTGAAAGAGCTGTCAGCACCCGCCATGGACTTGGGGGCTGGAGGAGCTCTATGATCCTGCCATGGCCCCAGGGGCCAAAGGAGCTCACTCTTCCTGCCATAGCCCCAGCGCTGGAGGAGTTCTGTGTCCCTGCTGATTATTGGGGGGCCCAGGCCCCTGATTCTCCCCCCTTTGTGCCCGCCCCTACCAGGGACTATGATATATCAGATATCTGGGACCCAGACTACATAGGGCTTTATAGATTATAATAAGCACCTTGAACTGCACTTGGAATAAAAAGTTCCTCAGTTTATTAATACTTTATTGTCCTTCTTTGAACTTTTCCTATTTCTGTCATATCTTTTCTTTTACATGAGGTAGCTACAGTTGAACTTAGCCTAGAAGGACATCCCTAGAATGTGGAGAAGTGGCTTGCCCAGGCAGTCAGTAAAATCAGGAATGTTTCAAAACATTGTACTTTTACCCAACCACAACCTACAGACCACAATATAAATGTTTAAAGAAAATGTTTTTAAAGGAGGGTAATAAAACATCCACACTGGCTCATACAAAATAAGTTCTATGAGAAATCACAGGAATGTGAGCTTGATTTTTCCCATAAATAGAGGCATTTAGCTGTTGCTGATTGGATAACCCAAATATTGGAATTTCTAGTAAAGTTCAGTGGAGCTGAAATAATTGCAGAAAAAGGCATGCAAGCATGGTAGAAGTGGGCAGACACTAACTTAAAAACAGTCTGAGCTTTAAATGGACATTAAATGTCATTTCAGCTGCAAATTAAGGGCCAGATCTAGGAGCTGTTCCAGGAATGGAGCTCCCATTGAAGTCAATGGCAGTTCTGCATGCAGGGCAGCTCCAGGACTGAACCCTAATCTTACTACCATTTATTAGAAAGCAGTATATTACAATAGGTCCTTTATCATCCCAGAGTATAGTTTGATTGTTTATTTCAGAACTAGCAACAAATATAAACCAAGCACATTAAGTCCAGGTCTGACACATAAGCAAAACTATATATATGCACTAGCAGACAGATGATATTAACAAAGGTTCAAGCCTGACACGAAGTAATGCATTTTGTTTCTTTTCTAAAATGAACCATGATTCCATAATCCCTCCCCGATAAATCTTGTTTTCTACTTAAAGATTCCCAAGGTCACAGAATGCTTACAGTGTGTATAAATCAAAGAATTATAGTGAATGAATGGAGAATTGCAGTGTGGACCAACAGTGCAAAAAAAGTCCAGTTCATGTTATATTTGAGGAGATATTCTAGGAAATGTACAGGGGCTTTTATGCAAACATTCAGTAGCTGACCTTTAATTTGTAGTGATCCACAAATAGGACTCTACATTGTGACTATTAGGATATATAATTTTGAAAAAAAGACAGCTCTGCCATCAAGTGATTTTTCCATTTTGGTTTCAATATTTTTTGTCTTGTTGGCCCAAATACACATGTGGAAGCAAGTTAAACATCACTTGTTTCATTGGGATCAGAACCAGGTTACTTATTTAACAAAACCACGGCCATCAAGGACTTCATGGTTGTTAGTGCGCTGGTGCACCAAGTCGCAATAGCAAGGAGTAGTACACACACAAGCCAATACATGACATTTTCTTGTATTATTAGGTAGAAGGGAAGGATTTGAAATGCATGGGATTTGGATCAGACTGTGAGGGATTGCAATGGCCTTTCTGCTCTACAGACGTCCGGCTCTTAAGGTTATTTTCACGGGCCCCTATTTTTTTTTATTATCGCAGAGTGGCTCGCCCTTTTAAGGGAAAATGGGGCCTCAGCTCACCTGTGAAAAGATCAGCTCACCTCCCCAGGTGCCTAAGAATGAGCTCATATGATTACCCCAGGTAGGCCTGGGGAGGTAACAAAGGAAAGAACAGATGCTTGGGAGAGTCCCTCGGGAAGAGAGCTCAAGGGGGAACTGAATGCTGTCTGGGATTCTCTGCTCAGTGTCCCCCTCTGGCTCCTTTGCTTTGGCCCTGTAACCTCTACTCTCATCCCTGTTTTTCTCATTTTTGGCTCCAAACTCTGTTGTGGCCTGGGTTTTGGGGTTCCTCACTCCTTGGTTGAAGGGATGGGCCTAGGCCTGCTCATCTCTGTATCGACAGTGAGTCGAGTGGGAGTTGGCTGGAAGGAAGGATGGTGTTTTTATGGTATTAGGCTGGTACTCTTGTGATCTGAGCTCAACTCTGATATCTGCCATAAACTTCCTTCCTGACCTTGGGCAAATCAAAGGGAACCTGGTAACACTCCAGTTAGGAAGCCCAGATAGGACAGAAGACTAGGAAGCTATAGCTGGGTTGAGGAAACATCTGCAGGTGAGTGCCCGAAAGGAGCTGAACTCAGCTTTGAGAAAGAGAGATGGGGCCTTCTGACTCAAGGGGAGAGATGCCCTGAAATGGGATTGAGGCCTAAAAGGCCAAACTCCTGACTCAAGGAGAGACACAGAACCCAGCTCTGGAAAGGAGGGCTGCAGACTCCTAATTCAAGGAGAAAAACAAAGAACTGGGCTTGGGGCCCAGAGGGCGACTGTGTAAGGACTAAATAAACTGGACCCCAGGAGGGGAGTGTTTTAATTACTGTTGGACTGTGACAGTAACTTATTGAGGAGCCCTGTGAGAAGGGAAACTGAGGCTGGGTGGTGCTTGGGTAGCTGCTGTTCTGTTACAGGCCCTGCTTACATGACATTTCAAACTATTAGCCACCACTGTGCTTAAACCAGGGTGTTCCTAAAAAAGATACTACACAATTTAGGCATCCAGTGGAGTCAGTTTATAAACAGTTTTAATCCACTAATCCCCTAGCCCTTGTCTACATGTAGGGGTATTTTTTTGGTTAAAAGTGCCCATGTTACTAATACTAGTGTAGCTTCATATAGCAAATGGAAGCACTAACATAGATAAGTCTTCTTCAGCTACTGGCATTCTTAATGCTGCGTTGTTTAGACCTACTCTGAGTGGCTATTGGAGCTTTGTCTTCATTTGGGCTCCCACCAGCAGAGTTACACTGCTGTGAAGAATGGTGTAAAATTTTTGACAAAAAAAAAAATCTCATTGTAGATACTGCCCAGATCTATAGCTTGATTTGGTAAAATGATTTATATCATGCGTAGGCCTCATTTGCACTGCCCAGGTAAACTGTCAGCAACTGGGCATATGTCCACAGGGCTTTAACCAAACTGTGTTATAACCCACTATGGCTAAACCTGAAAGATCATGACAAAATCTTTCAGGTTTTCTCCCTAATCCATTTTATATCTGAAATGAACCTAGAATCTTTCTAGAAAGAGAAGCTCCCTAAACATCTACTCTCCTGCAGTGCAGGTTATATTTATGACAACACATTCTAACGAAAACACAATGATGCATCCCACGTGCCTGTTTCTATGTCCACTGAAATCAGTTTAAAAACTCCCAATGACTTCAGTGGTAGCAGGATCAAGCCCCAAGAGCTATGTTAGCTTCAGAAGATATATAATGGGAGATTATATATCTGCCTTGGGCAAAAGAAGAATAAGGAACATTCAAAGCATCAGTAAAAAGACATGGGGCTTAAGGTCTCTTTATTATACCCAGACAATTTATGGTTGGAACAGGGGAATCAGATATTTTTCTGTTCTCCCATACAAGTTACTTCTACTTCCTTCAAATGACAGTTAAAAGCAAAACAAAAAAACACACACACCAAAGCCTTAAAAGTTGCAAGAAACCCCCAAACAAACAACCTCTCTCAATCAGACGGTTGAGTTGTAGAATGAAACAATCAAGATTTTTAATATTTCTGAACCAGGAAGTGTCTCTGCTTCGTTTCAGACTTAATACTTCTCTGTCAGCATCAATCACGGTTTGCATTGCTTCATGTATTATTGATCGGGTCACTGTGTGCTGCATCCTAATGTTGGAAAGATCCCAACCAATGCAAATTTGTTGCAGGTTTTATGCTGTTAAGTATTTTCCTGGATCGGAGGCTGGCTAGCCCAGCTGTAC